GCCCCTCTCCAGCCGCCGGGCCCAGCACATAGCCCCCCATCCCCGTGCAGGGAAGGCCCCAGCTCCTCCCCCCCCAGCCCAGGCTCTTTCCCGTCCCACCCAAGGCTAGACTCCTGCAACATGGAGGATTAACTGGGCTGCCCTGGATTGGGAGAGCAAACCCCTCCCGGCACAGGCCGGCTCCTCAGCAGGGGAGCTAGGGGGCAGCTCCCCAGCACCCCGAGCGGCTCACCCCAATACACAGCCTGTTTTGGCCTTACTGTGCCTCAGACAGGGTCTGTCTCCCTCCTTCCTCTGACTGTCTGTACCCAGAGGCTACAGGGTAGCCTTTGGTGAGCCCTTCAGGAAGTGTTAAGCAAGGCAGGGATGGAGTCTGCCAGAGATGGTTTCCCTCCCCCCCCCAATCTCCTATGAAAGTTTAATTTAAGTATAAGCCACAACCAGTGTCCAGAGCCTTCCCCCAGAGTCCTTGCCCCACTGGTGACCCCCACTCTTGGCACAATGCCCTTTGGCCTCTACGCAGCTGTGCCTTGGGCATCACTTCAGGCAACTTTTAGCATGTTCAGGTGTGAAAGTGGTGAAGAAGCCACAGGTGAGAAGCCTGCACAGTGAGAGAGAAGGACTAGTGGGTTCCCTGGCACCTGCGTGCTCTCCCCACCCAGCAGCACCGTGAGCCAGCTGCCCCGTGCAAACTTACGGTGTCCTCGCTGCAGCTCGCCCATAAGGAATCTTCCTAGGGCCTCAGAGTCTGCACCTTTCCAGCTGTTAAAGCTCCCCAAAGCAGCCACATCTGCAGACAGAAAAGAAAGAGGAGTCTAAATCATTCGCACGTCAGATTTCCCAGGGATAGCAGGACCCAGAACACAGCCAAGCTGTAGAGCAAGCTTAGGGACATGTCTCACATCTCCAGACCATGGAGCAATGAGCTGGAAGAACATGGATAGGCAGGGTGAGCAGCACCCTCCTGCTGGTTTCCCCATTCCCAGTGCCCCTACCTCAAGGCCACATAGTAACTTTCTTAGGCAATGCAAAGAACCCAGTAATCTGCAGGGGAGAACTCCAACCCTGCATGGGATTTTGTTCTGATGGAAAGGAAACCTGCTTGCTGCTCTGCTCTGCTCTGCTCTGCTCCCCCCCCCATGGAAGAGCTAGATCAGCACCAGTTGGAAGCTCAGTGAGGGGCACTTACCAGCCACAGGAACGTGGAGGCCCTAGCTTCCTTCCCAGGGCACAGTCAGCCCGCTGCTCCTGGAGATGCACCACAACACAGGCCTGAGCCTTCAAAAGCTAGTCACCCTGAAGGTTGGAGGAGGGGGGTTGGAGGGGCTCTTCTAGAGCTACAGGCAGAGGAAAGGGTTGGTTCACACAGATAGCTCAAAAGCAACAGCTGCAGGACCTCACTTCACCTTCCTCCCACCCCCAAGCTCAGGGCAGCTCCACCAGGGCAGAGTTGCAAGGGGAAATGCTTCTCCCAGCCAATGAGCCACCCTCCCTTTCAGGTGCTCCCCTCCCAATTAGGCCTTCTCCCATCAGGGTAACTGGATGTGGGTGCATGCTGACTATCACCCAAAAGCTGGGTTGCTCTGCAGTGAGGCAACCTTTCATGTTCAGAGTGGGGCGGGGGGCTGGGGGTTAGCCCCTTCCCTGCCAGGGAATAAGCTCCATATCTCTCCCCTTGGAGCTCCAAGGGAGGACTCTGTTGACCTATTTGAACAGTTTTGCACATGGGCTTAGGGCCACCAAGTTACAAATGGCCACCACTTAGGGGCGGTGAGATACAAAAGGTTCAACTGACTTTGGAGAACAACAAATGAAAAAAGGGAACGTGCATGTGGATCAGGGGGTCAAAACAAGTGCACCTTTGGGGGACACCAAGTAGAGCACCCCAGATAGCACCCACTGACTCTCAAACACAGCTAGAGAGCTGGTGGCTACTGCCCAGTGATGCTCCACTCAGAGATGGGACCATAGGAAACCCAGGAAAATGGTCCCATAGCCCCTGGGGACCCTGAGGAAGTTATTGGAAGGGGTGATACTGGGCAATGATACCTCCCTGACAGCAAGAGGCCAGCCTACCCAGAGGGGCACTGTGCCACAGGGGCCCCATGCCCACAGCAGCCCTAATGCTGTGAATCGCTGAGTCTGCAGGCCTGGGCTGAGGTGGCGGGGATGCTCTGAGATGCCTGGCCCATAGGTGAGGGGGCAGCACTGCCTGTGGACACTGTAGATGAGAGAGGGGAGCAGCTCAGTGACCCCCTGGAGGACAGGTGAAAGCCTCCCTCAGACCCTCCTGGAGAGGGCTCCAGGCTCTGTTGCGACGCTGCCGAGGAGAGATCCAGGCTCCTGTCGGACCGTATGGGCGAGAGATGGGGCCGCCTTTCCAGGCCTCTTCCTGGAACCTCAGGGCTTCTCTCAGCTTCTATTGGGGAAAGGTAGGGGCTCCTCGGACGTCCGCTGGCAGGGAGACCTGGGCTGTGCCCCATTCCCTTGGACCAGGGCACGGGGTTGTGTCTGGACCTCCTGAGCACTGCAGAGACAACATGCTTCTTAGCTGCTGCCGCCTCATTTCTCATGACAGGCCCTCTGGCCAGTGATGCACCAACCAGTGGGCTACCACCATCCCCAACTAAGAAGGCCCCTGCCATCCTGGCCGACCCTCTCGATGACAAAGCAGCCCCTGTGCCAGGTGGATCAGTGGAGTCTCCAGGGCCATGGGGTAGCCCTCTGGCTGGCAGGGTCCTTTCCCTCCAGGTGGACCTCTGAGGACAAGTTAAGGTCTCATCTGCTCTCTCTGACCCCGATGAGGATACGGCTCCACTATCCCAGGTGGCTTTTGGTATGGCACTGTGGTGTCTCTTGCCCTTCTCAGAGGCGCAGCGCTGGCCCCGTGGTGGGGGGGCTCCCAGACTCTCCTCGTATCCTGAAGAGTGGAACTTGCTGCTCGGAGTTTTCTCCCTCCGGTTCTTCTTCCCTGTCTAGGGAAAACACACACAACCTCCAGCAAAGCCCAGCCTCCTCCTGGCGCTGCTGGGCAGCACCTCATACCCCCAGCATGCTAGTTTCCAAGCAAGGGGCTATTACTGTGAACTGTAGTCAAAGGGCATTTTTTTTCCCCTTGGGCTAAGCTAGTCTTCAGATGGCAGCATGCCTTAGACTGCAGTATGATGCTGAATGGGTGACCTTGCATCAGGGACTAATTAGCATCAGTAAAACTGTTTGTTTGCTGAGGTTAGGAGACTCTGGTTGAAACAAAGACCAGGGATTAGCCAAAACCAGTTTGGGAAAGGCCTAGAAACATCTTGCCTGCTTGCTGAAACCAGATGGGATATAATCTATGTACCTCAGAGTATTCACTTTGAGGGCAGATCTCTGTGGCGAGGTAATCAAAGAGGGAATGTGCCTTTGTCTTGGACTAATAAATTAATGGACTGAGCTCAGCCACTTGATGTGCTGAGCACATCTGGTGTTGGACCTCCAAACAGATCTGACTGTATTGGTCGTAGGTCTAGATCATGCTCAGGAAGCTCAGCGGCCTTGGGTATCACAGGGAGAGAGTCAGGATAGGGATGAGGTTTCATCAACCTCTTGCTATAGCGGGCAGGAGTGCTTGAGCCTCCCTTATCCTGGTATTCAACAAGGGGGTGAAAACTTTGTTCCACTGAGGTCCAAAGCAAATTTCTTGAGGGCCTGAACAGAGCCAGAATTCCCCTTTGTTTTTTCCCCACCATCCCCCAAGAAAACTCTGCTAATGACACCTGCAACCCAGAGACGCCCCTGAAAGCCAGTTAGGCTGTAGACTGGGGATACATGAAGGGGATGAGGAGCAGTAAGGGGAAGGGGTCAGGAAAGCCCTGGGAGGAAGGAGCGGTTGGGTCAGAGGGGAACACAAAGGAGCGTAGGCCTCAGAGAGCCACGTGGGCCAGGGCTCCAAGGGGTTGCCAGAGGGCAGACAGGGAACTTCTGCCCCTGCCAGCACATCCTCTGCCCACCCCTGTAGGTTCTGGCAAGGCACAGAAGCGATGCCCTAACCCCTTGGGGCAGCCCAGTACCTGGTGGTCCTGAAGGCCCCGTGGGTAGCAGGTGAGGCTGCTGTGATTGAGCTCCGCTTTCTGCCAGTCACGCTCCCAGCGCTCCCTGGCATAGTCAGACTGCTGCTGCCTCAGCCGCTCTGCAAGCTGCTGGTTCTCCGCCCAGATCCGCGCCAGGTCCCGGCGGCGCTTCTCCCCATTCAGGCTGGTGTCAGAGAAGTCAGTGTCAAAAAGCTGCACTGACTGTGACAGTCAGGGGTGGCGCCTCATTAGCATCCCCCTGGGCCCAGCCACTCCAGCCCCAGGGACCTCCTGGAAAAGCCATTGCCCCCCCAGGCCTAAGTCCAATTTGGGATCCTTCCCACCCCACTGCAAGATGGAGACACATGAAGGCATAGACAAAATTTATTCAGCACCTCCAAACCCTACCTTCTACCCCAGCTTACTCCCCACACCTGCTGTGGGGCCTTCTCTGGGTTGGCCCTGGCCATGAGTCCTGTCTGAGTCCCACTTACCACCTGCAACTCTCAGACACCTGCACCAGCCTGGACCTGCACCAGCATGGCAGGTCCTGGCTGAAACATCATAGACCAAGGAGCAGAGCATGGGTGGCTCCATCTGTGGATCTCCCTGCTGTGATGAACTGGGCTGAAGGCGATGAATACCACCTGCCCACACAGACCCCGGGCTGGAAGGGCAGAAGGCTGAAGCACAGAGGGTCTGAGAAGAGAGGGTCTTTCAGGGATGATGCAAAGCACAGGATGTGTGAAATCAGAATGCAACAGATGGAGGGCCTGGCATGCCCACAGCTGGCTGTCTCCTTATAGATATGGTCTATGGGTTGGCCAGGGGGGAATGGCAAAAGAGGGGGAAATGCCTTGATCCCTCCACCACCACCATCACGAGGCCTCAGCATCTCTCAGAAGCTAGTGGTTGTGGCCCCCCCCACCCTGTGATGTTTGAGACCAGCCCCGTGGGGCACAGACCTGCGCACGCTGTAGTTGTTCCAGTTGTCTACTTGCCCCCGGGACAGCCTGATGTCAGCCAGTTTGGCAGCATGAATACCATCATCCCTTTCTCGGATAGCCTGGCAGTCTCTTTCTATCTGGGTGGAAACGAAACCCAAAGCATAAAAGCAGTCCTCTTTTCTGAGCCACGGCTACTAAATAATGCAGTCAATCCATCAGCATTCCTCCTGCCCCTTTCACAGCAAAGTGAAGAGTCATCACAGACCCAGGAAATGCGACCCGCTCTAGGGTGGGGCAGGCCGGCTGCTTAACAGAGGAATAAATTGGCAGGGCAGGACCCAACCCCTGCAGGGCATCCTGGCTTGGAAAGCAGGACTGCTGCCCCTCAAGTCCCCTGCAAAAGCCATCACTGAGTGCTTTTTGGGCCAGTGAGCGGAGTCCAATTAGCCAATAGCAACCTCTACCAGCGCTGCCTCCACCCGTCCTTTGAAAGGGCCTACCCTGAAGTCTGTGGGGAGCTGTGGTTGCCCCGAGCCCGCCAGGATGAAGCCTTCTCTTTGACCCTCCCCACAACAGTTCAGGGGCTGCAGGTACCTGCGCCACAGCAGCCAGCCCCTAGGGATGGGCCTTTCCAGGCATGGCCTCTCTCCATGGAAGCAGCCAGCGGCACTGGGCTCCCAGGCAATACCTTGCCAACACCCTGCCAGGGGATCCAGCCCTGGCCTGTAAGGCCCCACTCCCATGCAGAGCATCTCCCAGCGGTCCTTGTTGAGCAGCTCACCTGCATCCTTTTGAGGTTGACCAGCAGGTGGATGGGGGGCTGCAGCCCCTGTGTATTCACCACTGGAGAAGCCATCACCACCTGCACAGGAGAGACCCAGGGGAGCTGAGCACCAGCAAATGGGGGAGGACTGTTTCT